TGTGGCGCAATTGGTCAGCGCGTTCGGCTGTTAACCGAAAGGTTGGTGGTTCAACCCCACCCAGGGACGTTTTGAGATTGTAAAGAAATGCAGACGTAACATAATTCATAAAGACGCTTTATTTCTTAATGAATTGGGGGAGTGGCCTTGCCATTGGGCGTAATTACCCAAATCGGCGATCAGAAAGGTCTCTGTGGCACAATTGGTCAGCGCATTCGGCTGTTAACTGAAAGGTTGGTGGTTCAAGCCCACCCAGGGACGTTTTGAGATTGTAAAGAAATGCAGACGTAACATAATTTGTGAAAATGCTTTATTTCTTAATGAATTGGGGGAGTCGCCTTGCCGTTGGGCGTAATTACCCAAATCGGCGATCAGAAAGGTCTCTGTGGCGCAATTGGTCAGCGCGTTCGGCTGTTAACCGAAAGGTTGGTGGTTCAACCCCACCCAGGGACGTTTTGAGATTGTAAAGAAATGCAGACGTAACATAATTCATAAAGACGCTTTATTTCTTAATGAATTGGGGGAGTGGCCTTGCCATTGGGCGTAATTACCCAAATCGGCGATCAGAAAGGTCTCTGTGGCGCAATTGGTCAGCGCGTTCGGCTGTTAACCGAAAGGTTGGTGGTTCAAGCCCACCCAGGGACGTTTTGAGATTGTAAAGAAATGCAGACGTAACATAATTCATAAAGACGCTTTATTTCTTAATGAATTGGGGGAGTCGCCTTGCCGTTGGGCGTAATTACCCAAATCGGCGATCAGAAAGGTCTCTGTGGCGCAATTGGTCAGCGCGTTCGGCTGTTAACCGAAAGGTTGGTGGTTCAACCCCACAGACGCTTTATTTCTTAATGAATTGGGGGAGTGGCCTTGCCATTGGGCGTAATTACCCAGATAGGCGATAAGAAAGGTCTCTGTGGCGCAATTGGTCAGCGCGTTCGGCTGTTAACCGAAAGGTTGGTGGTTCAACCCCACCCAGGGACGTTTTGAGAATGTAAAGAAATGCAGACGTAACATAATTTATAAAGACACTTTATGTCTTATCGAATTGGGGGAGTGGCCTTGCCATTGGGCGTAATTACCCAGATAGGCGATAAGAAAGGTCTCTGTGGTGCAATTGGTCAGCGCGTTCGGCTGTTAACCGAAAGGTTGGTCGTTCAAGCCCACCCAGGGACGTTTTGAGATTGCAGACGTAACATAATTCATGAAGACGCTTTATTTCTTAATGAATTGGGGGAGTGGCCTTGCCATTGGGCGTAATTACCCAAGTCGACGATCAGAAAGGTCTCTGTGGCGCAATTGGTCAGCGCGTTCGGCTGTTAACTGAAAGGTTGGTGGTTCAACCCCACCCAGGGACGTTTTGAGAATGTAAAGAAATGCAGACGTAACATAATTTATAAAGACACTTTATGTCTTATCGAATTGGGGGAGTGGCCTTGCCATTGGGCGTAATTACCCAAATCGGCGATCAGAAAGGTCTCTGTGGCGCAATTGGTCAGCGCGTTCGGCTGTTAACCGAAAGGTTGGTGGTTCAAGCCCACCCAGGGACGTTTTGAGATTGTAAAGAAATGCAGACGTAACATAATTTATGAAGACGCTTTATTTCTTAATGAATTGGGGGAGTGGCCTTGCCATTGGGCGTAATTACCCAAGTCGACGATCAGAAAGGTCTCTGTGGCGCAATTGGTCAGCGCGTTCGGCTGTTAACTGAAAGGTTGGTGGTTCAAGCCCACCGACGCTTTATTTCTTAATGAATTGGGGGAGTGGCCTTGCCATTGGGCGTAATTACCCAAATCAGCGAACAGAAAGGTCTCTGTGGCGCAATTGGTCAGCGCGTTCGGCTGTTAACCGAAAGGTTGGTGGTTCAACCCCACCCAGGGACGTTTTGAGATTGTAAAGAAATGCAGACGTAACATAATTTATAAAGACGCTTTATTTCTTAATGAATTGGGGGAGTGGCCTTGCCATTGGGCGTAATTACCCAGATAGGCGATAAGAAAGGTCTCTGTGGTGCAATTGGTCAGCGCGTTCGGCTGTTAACCGAAAGGTTGGTCGTTCAAGCCCACCCAGGGACGTTTTGAGATTGCAGACGTAACATAACTTATAAAGACGCTTTATTTCTTAATGAATTGGGGGAGTGGCCTGGCTATTGGGCGTAATTACCCAAATCGGCTGTCAGAAAGGTCTCTGTGGCGCAATTGGTCAGCGCGTTCGGCTGTTAACCGAAAGGTTGGTGGTTCAACCCCACCCAGGGACGTTTTGAGATTGCAGACGTAATATAATTTATAAAGACGCTTTATTTCTTGATGAATTGGGGGACTGGCCTTGCCATTGGGCGTAATTACCCAGATAGGCGATACGAAAGGTCTCTGTGGTGCAATTGGTCAGCGCGTTCGGCTGTTAACCGAAAGGTTGGTGGTTCAAGCCCACCCAGGGACGTTTTGAGATTGTAAAGAAATACAGACTTAACATAATTTATAAAGACACTTTATTTCTTAATGAATTGGGGGAGTGGCCTTGCCATTGGGCGTAATTACCCAAATCGGCTGTCAGAAAGGTCTCTGTGGCGCAATTGGTCAGCGCGTTCGGCTGTTAACTGAAAGGTTGGTGGTTCAACCCCACCCAGGGACTTTTTGAGATGTAAAGAAATGATGACCTTACCATAATTTTTAAGACTCTTTTATTTTCCTAATGAAATTTGAGGGATGGAGCTTGCCAATTGGGCTAATTACCTAAAACGGATGGCAGAAAGGGCTCTGTGGCGCAGTTGGTCAGCGCGTTCGGCTGTTAACTGAAAGGTTGGTGGTTCAAGCCCACCCAGGGACGTTTTGAGATTGTAAAGAAATGCAGACGTAACATAATTTGTGAAAATGCTTTATTTCTTAATGAATTGGGGGAGTCGCCTTGCCGTTGGGCGTAATTACCCAAATCTGCGATAAGAAAGGTCTCTGTGGCGCAATTGGTCAGCGCGTTCGGCTGTTAACCGAAAGGTTGGTGGTTCAACCCCACCCAGGGACGTTTTGAGATTGTAAAGAAATGCAGACGTAACATAATTCATAAAGACGCTTTATTTCTTAATGAATTGGGGGAGTGGCCTTGCCATTGGGCGTAATTACCCAGATAGGCGATAAGAAAGGTCTCTGTGGTGCAATTGGTCAGCGCTTGTTCGGCTGTTAACCGAAAGGTTGGTGGTTCAACCCCACCCAGGGACGTTTTGAGATTGCAGACGTAACATAACTTATAAAGACGCTTTATTTCTTAATGAATTGGGGGAGTGGCCTGGCTATTGGGCGTAATTACCCAAATCGGCTGTCAGAAAGGTCTCTGTGGCGCAATTGGTCAGCGCGTTCGGCTGTTAACCGAAAGGTTGGTGGTTCAAGCCCACCCAGGGACGTTTTGAGATTGCAGACGTAATATAATTTATAAAGACTCTTTATTTCTCTTTGAATCGTAGGGACTGGCCTTGACATTGGGCGTAATTACCCATATTGGCGATACGAAAGGTCTCTGTGGTGCAATTGGTCAGCGCGTTCGGCTGTTAACCGAAAGGTTGGTCGTTCAAGCCCACCCAGGGACGTTCTGAGATTGTAAAGAAATGCAGACGTAACATAATTTATGAAGACGCTTTATTTCTTAATGAATTGGGGGAGTGGCCTTGCCATTGTGCGTAATTACCCAAATCGGCTGTCAGAAAGGTCTCTGTGGCGCAATTGGTCAGCGCGTTCGGCTGTTAACCGAAAGGTTGGTGGTTCAAGCCCACCCAGGGACGTTTTGAGATTGTAAAGAAATGCAGACGTAACATAATTTATGAAGGCGCTTTATTTTTTAATGAATTGGGGGAGTGGCCTTGCCATTGGGCGTAATTACCCAAATCAGCGAACAGAAAGGTCTCTGTGGCGCAATTGGTCAGCGCGTTCGGCTGTTAACCGAAAGGTTGGTGGTTCAAGCCCACCCAGGGACGTTTTGAGATTGTAAAGGAATGCAGACGTAACATAATTCATAAAGACACTTTATTTCTTAATGAATTTGGGGAGGGGCCTTAACATTGGGCGTAATTACCCAGATAGGCGATAAGAAAGGTCTCTGTGGTGCAATTGGTCAGCGCGTTCGGCTGTTAACCGAAAGGTTGGTGGTTCAAGCCCACCCAGGGACGTTTTGAGATTGCAGACGTAACATAATTTATGAAGACGCTTTATTTCTTAATGAATTGGGGGGAGTGGCCTTGCCCATTGGGCGTATTACCCAAATCGGGTTGTCAGAAAGGTCTCTGTGGCGCAATTGGTCAGCGCGTTCGGGCTGTTAACCGAAAGGTTGGATGGGTCAAGCCCACCCAAGGGACGTTTTGAGATTGTAAAGAAATGTAGAGTCAAATAATTTATAAAGAA